TAGATTTGAGACGGTTAAAAACAGATTAACTGGCATTATGACTAATGTGACTGCCATTTTGGCAGCTACTTATACTAAGTTTCTTTTTATTTTGGCAGACCTGGATCTCTCACTCCCAACTTCTGAACCTTCCTAACTTAGCCCCTCAGGACCCCTCTCCTATTCTCTTGTCTTCTCATATTTCCTTCCTTTCTACTGAGTATTCTTTCTCCCATTATTTTGCTGTCTCTTAATGTAGTCTAGTTCTACTCCCTCTTTTCTTTTTTGCTGTTTTATTTACTGACTTTATTGGATACTCTTCCTATCTAGTCAGTTTCAGGACAAGGGGACCTGTGTTTCTGTTTTACATTGTCTGGAATAGTGTATGTTTTCAGTGTTCTGTTTGTACTTGACTAGCAAAGTTCCTTTTTCATTATTGTTGGCTCTTCTGAATTGATCTGTTAATTGATATGTGACACAACCACACTATGCGTTTTGATCACCCTACATGGTTATTTATTACCCTGTTGTGACATTGTTCAATTTACATTTTTCTACAATTTTAATTCTTTCTTTTTTATTACTTGTTCATTCTTTTTGTAAAGGAAAAATGCCCACCTGCCATGTCCTGATAATATTGAATATGTATTTCATGAATAGCCTACAAATTCTACCAATTGTTTTTGTTTTCCCAACACAATTTTATTGGTCTTACATTGTACAGTATACAGTAAAGATATAAAAGGAAAATGCATACAGAACCAATCGGTCGTTTTCATATAACATGTTAGGAACATTACATGCATGAACCATCACCAGTACAGAATAATTATAAACTGTTCCATTTTATCCTTCCTCTTTTAGAGTTAACCCTCTCTAGTTCTGTATGTTAACGACTTTATAAAGCTTAATCATAACACAAATAATACCTAAAACCTAAAACAGGATCGTCGTGTCCTTGCTGTCAAGTAAATGTATAGTGCACTCACTTAGTGCTGCATGCGTTCCTAAGAAGCATCTATTTGCTTGCCCTGTTGGAGCCCATGGCCAGTTTGCCACCAAGCTACCTATCCAGTTCCCGCTATCTGGGCCATAAGTACACTGGGGGTGAATTTGAAAGGGGCCAAAAATTGTTCCTTCTCTGTGGGCGAAAGGACCATTTGGATAAAAGGTATCCACCTGTCATAGAAGGAGGTTGTTTTCCTGTCATTCTCCAGTTGTGTTTCCGCGTCTAATTTTTCTAACAAGGAGGCAGCTTAGGTTCTACAATCTAAGGTTGGGGAAAGCCATTCCTCCCTCGCTCCAGGGCAGAAATGATTTCTTAATGGATATTCTTGCCCTCTTCCCCTGCCAGACAAAGGCTGTGAATGCTTTGTTAATGAATGTGACATCTTTATGTTTCAGGAGAAAGGGCAGGGTTTGCATAGGGTAAAGCAATCTGGCAAAAGATATCATCTTAACCAGGTGTATTCTGCCAAAGAGCGATAGAGGAAGGTTCCCCCATACCGCCAATTCGTGTTTTATTTTGTCAAAAAGTGGGGGATAATTTAATGTATATAACGAGGAGGTTGTTCTGCCAACGCGAAGACCAAAAGTGTTTTTGGGCGCGACAAAGTGTTGTACTTGCTCTGTGGAACTGGACCCTAGCCTTTCTCTTTTTGGCAGCAACGTATGACATGATCCTCCCTCTCAAGACCGCTTTGGCTATTTCCCAAAAAAGGTTCGGTGTATCCGAATGAGCCCCGTTAAAGGATTCATATTCCTGCCATGCCTCCGCCAGCATTGACTGAAAAGAAGTGTCTGCGTATAAATGCGACGGAAACCGCCAAATAAACGGGTATGCCGATGGTCGCATCCTCTCCACATATTTGAAGTCTTCCTCCGGGTCCTGGTAAGCCAGGGTGGATCCATCTTCTGCTTGAAAACGAAGCGTTGCAGGGTAGGCTAGGGTGAATCTTGTTTTGTTCTGAAATAGGAGTGAACAGACTTTAGCAAACGCCTTGCGCTTCTTGGTGACCTCCACCGAGTAATCTGCAAAGACCAGAAGTCGATGCCCATCTAGGTATAACTCCCTCTTGGCGCGAAATGCCTGTAGGATTGCCATGCGGTCTGTATAATCCAGGAACCGTGCTATGACCGGGCGCGGGCCTTTTCTGTCCGGATTGGGAGGACCCAGTCGATGTGCCCGTTCCACTTTGCACCCCGGTCCTAGACCCAGGAGATCTGGAATATTTATGGCGCAGATACTCGGCAGCGTGGATGGGTGGTAAGATTCAGGGAGGCCCACGATCCGCACGTTGTTGCGACGTGAACGGTTCTCGAGGTCCTCAACCCGGTCCAGGAGAAATTGTACTTGTTTAGTATTAGTATGTAGCTGAGAGGCCGACGAGTCAGCTCCCTCCTCCAGGGTCACTATGCGTGATTCCGCCTCCGTAATTCTCTGGGCCTGGTGCAAGAGGTCCTGACGTAGGGATTGTATGCCCTTGAAGACTGCCTTGCTCACTGCGTCCTGGATGGTTGGCCGCAGCAGTTTGGCTACTTCAGCGGCAATCAAGCTGTGATCCGACATTGCCGGCAGCTCATCATCCGATGAGGCACTTATGTCTCGTGGGTCGGGGGTTGCGACCATCTTGGTCTGGCTCTGCGGCCTTCTGCTGCGTACCGGGGTACCTTTGCCGCGAGGTCCGTTGCGCCGCTTCGCCAGGAACTTATCCATGCTTCCGTGGATCGGGTAAGCGTCTGTGATGTTTGTGGGCTAGGAAAGGCTGCTGGTTTCAGGTTTTATATGCGGTTTTCTGCCCTGTCCGTGCGGGAGCTCTGCACTCTGCGTCCGCTACATCAGGCGCCGGAACCGGAAGTCGTTTTTTTAAATAAGTGTCCTAAAACTGCTCATACAATATTTTTTTTTTACATCTATGACGGCAGCAGCCATCGCCAAGCTGACCATCTTTAGGGAAAAGATTGATCCGACGTTATTGATAATCAACAACCAGTCTTTCCCCCAAAATCCCCCACCCCGTAAGGCTGCATGCACTGCTTTCCACGTATTCACCCTTTTGCTTTTTCACTTATTTTAGGGGTCACTCTACCCAAAATTATTTTCATGTTGGCGGAATATGTTGGGCTGAGACACGTAATGTGTTCTGATAGCTCTAGGGAACTCCAGCGTTGAGATTATCCCAAACATAGTTTTTGGCTCTTTTTCTGCCCTTCGTGGATTTTTGGATGTTCCAATGAACTAAGAGGTGTTCTCATGCTTCCTGTTACATTCCCCATTTATGAATTTAAAAGACCCAACAAGAACAATAGAGTTTTCTCTCCATTGGTCTCCACTGGTGAATCTAAGAAACTGGTAGGTAATAACATTCTTCAGTATCTTCTACAAATGTGGAATAAACCTCCAAAACCTGAATGTTTGGATGAGCCAAATTTAAAAGGCCTTCCCAGCAATAAACGTGTCTACATAGGCTGGATTGCGCATGCACAGTCGATTTGACCAACATTGGACCCAGTGACAAAAAGGAATAGTCGATTTAGGGCTATATACATTAGGTTATCCTCCCCTAATCTAGAAAAATTTGGAAGGCAATCATTCTCCTGTAGCCATCTAAAGTTACCCTCCGATTAGTGCAAACACCCCCCCTCCAGTGGTTTTTATTTTGGGGGGGAAGTTGATCAGATAGCTCTTTATGGATTGCTTTTATTGCTTTCCTAGGTTGTCTGATAACTGCATACATAAGTACACTAGGGCATTATGAAAGTGAATCTGTATGCATGAATACATGTTAAAAAAAAAAAAAAAAAAAAATCACGTCTGTGTGCACAATCACCATGGAATCTAGCTTTACTTGCATGATAATGGATGATAAATGAAAAAGTAGTTTCTATACTTCAAGATGTTTGTAAGTAAGGTGTGTTGGTGTGGGACCCCTAGATCCTTATGTTTTCCAGTGTGACATAAGTGCAGTTTTGCCTTCCATGTTTTCAGAGATCTTTGAACAATACAATAATTGGGTTTTGTGTTTTTGTTTTTTTTTTTTGTTTTTTTTTATACACATCCCTACTTTCATTTCTCATCCCTTCTGATTTTTTTTAAAAAAGCACATAAGCAATGCAGAGTAATTAACTCTAGTGCTTCTTTATGTGCATTTTATTGATATCGCCTTGAGGCAACTCTGTCGTTTGTACAGGATATCTTGCATTATTTGAAGTGCAATAAATTATTTTTCTACTAAAGCATATTTAAAGGTCTTGAAATTGTTTAACTGTATAAATTGCCTTCATTGTACACATTAGTAAATATCATAAATGTTTTTCATATTACATTAATAGTGTGTGTGTTAACTAATTTAATGTCTAGCAATAAACCTACATATGATATAGAATAATATTAGACATACATTTTAGACTCTTATTTTCATGGACCGCTGGTAAAGAATTCCAGATCATTCACAATCTCCTCAATTAACATTTAGAAATGAAATGTACAAATAGAACCAAATGAATAATAATTAAAAGAATGTTTTTTAATAGTTAAAAATGGTTCCATTGATATTACAGTAATCCTTGATAGTCCACAGCAGGCATAATTCCTAAAGGTAGAGATGTAATTGTTACAGGGCACTTATCAGGTCACACAGAAAAGATCGTTTGCAAAATTACATTCAGGGGAGAAAAGGTAGAGATGACAGGTTGCTACATTTACCTTTTTAAAATATGTATTTTATCACAGCTGCCACTGACTTGGGTAATATAAATGTATGATGACAATTTTATATCTTGACTGAAATGTCTGGTAGGGAGATCAGGGTCATTTGTATCAATATTTCTGGTTACACATTTGCATTACAGGTATTTATTTATCTGTTCCTGGTAAATGTATAAAATATAAGAACATATTAAATGGCTTGTATGTATGTATTTATATGGAAAAACAGATGTATGTTAAGTAGATTTTATAACAAAGCACAAGATGATGAAAATAATTTAATGGCCCATTTTTCTCTGCCATTGTTTCACAGGAACAAAAGATACAGTTGCCATCATGATTGGAAACTTGAAAGGGAAAGAGATCGTAAACTTGGTTCAGAATGGCCTTCAAGTCACCATGTTGATTGAAGTCGGAAAGAAACATGGATCCTGGATAAACCACTACTCCATCTTCTTTGTCTCTATTTCCTTCTTCGTTGTCACAGCAGCCACAGTGGGCTACTTCATCTTCTATTCGGCTCGCCGCTGGAGACGCACACGAGTTCAGAACCAAAAGATGGTAAGAACTTACATTTAACCATAATTGAAACCATACATGATTCCGATGTCCTTTTTAGGGACATCACTCTAGCAATTCTGTGGCTTATCGCTGGTGACAGTTTGCTAAAACTCAAATCACCTTCGCCCATATTGTTGTTCCCACGCTGTCCAAACCAGTTGGCACTATTAGGAAGTGGAAGAAAACTTACAATTGAACTCCAAGCAGATAATAAAAATTTAGCCTAATGTAGGCATGTCTTTTTAATTAAGGTACCTAGAATAGTTTCCATTAGACTCCAAATCGTCCTCCTGTAACCTCAGGTGCAGCAGAACTGAGACAAGGGAAAGGAAGGGCCAGCGCTAGGAGCCAGTCAGGTGTGCTACAAAGTATGTGTACTTACAAGCAGCACATTGACCGAAAGATGAGCTCATTAATGTACTGCTGCTTCTTTACTGTCCAATTATAGGCTAGTGGCAGGAAGGTGACCTAGCTGTTTTTTTCTAATTGCATTAGAAAAAACGCATGTCACCCTTCTGGCTGTGCTGACTGTCTAAATTTCAGGACTCTATGGGGAGAAATACAAACCCTTTGGCATATAAAATAGCTTATATGCATGTATTTAAAGTACACTACTGCAATTTGCTATTTGCCTAAGGATCTTTTAACAATATATCTAGTTGACCTAATAATCGAAATGAAACCCGAAAAATCAAATTTATGACAATATAATGCACATTTCATATACAAGACGCATGCAAGTGATGTAACAATTCTATGCTAAGGTGCCTCATTGTTGAATGAACAGTAGTTACAGTTGGAACATCTTATTTGAAGTTATCAAGCTCGTGAACAGTAGTTACAGTTGGAACATCTTATCTGAAGTTATCAAGCTCGTCAGTCTGTTCATTCTTGACCTAAAGTGCATTTTCAATGAACAGTTACACAATATAGGAACCGTAGATTATGACACAAAGTGATAATTAGTAGTGAAATGGTGCTGTCTTTCCTCCTCTCTATTAACTAAGAATGCAGCCTAAGAGCAGCACTTTGATCTAGAATGAAGGACAGGTTCAATTTAAGTAAGTGATTGAATGAAGCATGCATTGTTTTATCATTCATAATTGGCTTTCTCAAAAGATTATTTTGAATCAGCACTACAGACAAATATTTAAAAAAAAATCTGCAGTGTCAAAATTTGTTAGGTCTCTTGAGGTCTCTTGAGGTGTATGTCACTTTATTTATCGCCGACATTTCTTAAACGAGAAGTAAAGCAAACCTTTTTTGTCTGACGTATATTCACTAATGTATTCCTTTTTACCCAAAGTCAGCTGATGGCAGGCTAATGCTGCTATTGGCTGACAGCGGAGAGCCACACTTCATGTGACTGACATTCACCACTCTCCACAGAGAAAAGAGACTGCAAGCTGAGTGATCAGCAAATACATGATCGTTCAGCTCTCGGTATACAGGTGAAACTCGAATAATTAGAATATTGTGCAAAAGTAATTGCAGTAAGTGCTGCAAAAGGGGCCCAAACCAAGTACTGAGTACATATGCATGCTTGTACTTTTCAGAGGTCCGATATTGTTCTATGTACAATCCTTGTTTTATTGATTGCATGTAATAATCTACTTTTTTGAGGTTGTGGATTTGGGGTTCTTGGGGTTTTCATGAGCTGTAAGTCATAATCATCACAATAATGACAAATCATGGCTTGAATTATCTTGCTTTGCATGTAATGAGTTTATCTCATATATTAGTTTCACCTTTTAAGTTGCATTAGTGAAATAAATGAACTTTGCACGATATTCTAATCGAGTTTCACCTGTATAGCTGGTGTATATTTTACTCTCTACGAAGACAGTGCGGCTTCTGTGTATGAAAGTCACAGCTCTCGCAGTCGCAGCACTGGAAGTACAGTGAGAAATGCTCTACCCAGCCTGAATGAAAGTGTGAACGTTACAGAAATGTCAGCAATAACTAAAGGGACATTTGCACTGCAAATTTAAAGTGCAGCTGAATCCAAAACTTTTTTCTAATTTTGAGTAGAGGGGAGGGGGATTAGATCTGTCCAGTTTTTATTGATCTGTGTCCCCATTATGGAAATTCATGCTCTCTATTTGTCCTGGTGACTATTATCATGGAAAGTGAACATGAAAGAAAATCCCAAATTGTGGGTGGTCGTCAGAGCAAGAATAGATGAGAAATGTTACAAAGGGGACACTACTGGTGACCACCAGGGACTTCCCTCTCTTTAGAGGGATTTTCTCTCACTTCCTGTTGTAGCTATCAGACAAAAAGGGAAATCTCTCCAGTGACACACTTAGGGCAAAAAAGTTAGTGATTATAACCCTACCCAAAACTAAAAAAAAAAGTTTGGCTTTGGTAACTAAAGATAAAAAAATATATACTTTGCCTGAAATTGCTCGATAATCCGTTGTCTTTGAAGTTTCAAGAGTCATCATAACACTAATTTCTGTTACTATACCCTTTTTAATAAACAACCATATATTGTCTGTTCTTGGCCTCAGGACATCATTTTGTGGTTATGACCTGTAATAAAGTTTTGGCTATTTGATTTGCCTAATTTGCCTCATTTCCTTAGATGACTTTGAGATGACATTTCCATTCATAAAACCCGAGATTATTTTAGAAACTTTATAATAGTGATTGGAAACTTTCATATGGCCATTTAGTATGTCATCTAAGGAACCTGATATTTTATTGCGCTTTCTGTTTCTATAGTAAAAAAAATGTTTCCATGTTATTTGCATAGAACAAGGGGAAGCCTGCTATAAATATATGAAGCACACAGAGATTAGAGGGGAAACCTTTCAGTGTGCACTTCATTATCAGAACTACTTTATTTCTCATTTAAGTATTGGCTTTACATTTAACAAGCTGTTGAATGCAAATATATACAAAAAGCATGTATCTCCCGCAAGAACAGGGGTGTATTTGTGTATTTAAAGGAGAACTGTGGGGTCAGTGTTTTTCCCCCATAGTTCTCCTTAGGGTAACGGGAGGACACAAACTAGCGTCCTCCCGTTACCCTAAGCTCAGTATACCGCGAGCTACAGCTCGTGGTATACTGAGACGCCGCACCTGGAGCGGATCCCGACGTAGATGACGGGATCCGCCCAGCTGCGTGAGTGACATCTGACTCTGCCTATCTAGAGGCAGAGCCAGCTGTACCCGCCCCCTCCCCCGTCCGTTCCGCCAGTCAGCGCTTGCAGATCGGAGCGGGGAGAGGGGAATCCAGCCCCTCCCCCTGTCACGGCAGAGAGCCGTGACATGATCGAGAGGTGAGGGAACGCGGTATGTGTTCCCTCACCTCCCGATCTACTGAGCCGACCTGTGACAGTCTCATTGTCACAGGTCGGCTTAGAATTATGAGGTGAGTGGAAATCACTCATCTCATAGTTCTCCTTTTAATCCTTGTTATCCTGGGCACATCAACTGAAATTTAGGATTACCCTTACACAGGAAGTGCTTCTACTTGCAGTAGAAGAGGTGATTGACAAAGAATCAAGCGGTCAGTTTTTTCTATAGTTCATGCACTGAGTGAGTGTATTAGGGTGGTTAGCCTATTTCAGGTGGTGGTGACTTTAACTGCAGATATAGAAAACTAAATTTAATGCAGTGTGCACACAGGGAGCATCATTAAAACTGAAAACTTACGCTGGCCATAGATGGCTAAAATTCCTGTTGAATCAGTGGAAATTCAAGCCGTGGATGTTTGTTGGCACCAACTGGCTTCACAAACGTCACTATTCCTTTTCCTGTATACTTCCTTTTTGGATTGATATAGCAAACAAGATAATTAAGAGATAACATACTAGTTTTAGTGCAGGTTAACACTTTTGGTAGTTAGTATCTTTTCATAGATATTAGACCAAAAAGCTGAGGAGGGAATGGGAGGTACGAGTAAGGCCTGGTTCACACCTGGGCGTTTTGTAGCGCGTTCGAACGCTCTGCAAAACGCTGAAACACCGAAATCCCATTATTTCCTATGGGTATGGTTCACACCTGGGGTATTACAGGCCGTATGAACGCGCTACATAACACCCAAAGAAGTACAGGAGCTTCTTTGGGGCGTTTTGTCACGCGTTTCCATTGGGATACAGCCAAGTAGCCCTCGGAAACGCGCTTTTGTCGCATGTTTTTTTACCGCGAATCGGGGTAGAAACGCGCATATTCGATATGCCTAGGTGTGAACCCAGCCTAAGGGAAAAGCTTCACCAGCATCACAGACGTGTGTGTGTGTGTGTGTGTGTGTGTATATAAGTGTATGTATGTATGTATGTATGTGTAAAATATATATATATATACACACTGTGTGTGTATGTGTGTGAAATAAATGAATCCATTGCATATAATCTTTTCTTTTCTTTTTTTTTTATGGGGGAAGTCTACGACCCTTTGTCTGCTGTATGTTGCTGTGTCCCTGTTGCTGATTTTCCCCTATACCTTTTCTGGTGATACCTCTCACTGGGATATAAAGCTCTAACATAACTCTGGACAGCAGTGAAAACCTGATGGAGGTTTTTATCCTTTCCGACTCTTAAAAAAAAAAAAAAAAAAAATTTTACAGCTTGTACTTTTAATTTCCATTTTGTTAAAAAAAAAAAAAAAATGTTCAGCCTTGTACTTTAAATTACCTTTAGTTTGAAATGTAAATATATGCAATTCCAGCCATTTTATTTAAAGTAATTGCTGTGGCTAAAAGTCACTGGGGATGCAGGAATGAGGGGGTATGTGAGGATGCGCAAGGTATGAAGGTGTTGTCTTCCATGGACATATAGTGCTCTACTCTTATTATAGATTCACAGGGATTTCATACTCTACAGAGAAACTGAGATATCTTTTGTGACGTAGACCTCTGCTGACAGACTAACAAAGGCTTTATTGCAGATTTTCCTGGGATGGCAGGCACGGCTTTGCTAGTCTATGGAAGATCATATAAACCAATTACAGTAGCTTACATTACATTTAATTATGCCAACATTTCAATGCAC